TTTCAAATAATCAAAAAGAAATATTTAATATTTTTACAAATAAATATTTTTTTTTTCAAAGCTTACATAAATGTTTAGTCAGCAGATGATTCTCGGGGTTTTCTTTAACAGTGTTTATCTCTGTAGCTTACTTTTAATTAATTTTTTAAGTAAAACAATAATTTGCAATGTCGTTTTTCAGGTTTAAGAGATTCATAAACGTTTCTACGGTCCACCTACTATTATCTTCTGATAGAACAAAATAATCCTATTTCTTATGTCGGAGAATTATCTAAATAATTATATATTATCTATAGAAAGGTTGAGATTTTAAACGTGTACGGATACGTGTAGTAGGGGAATAACCGAAATTCTGTGTGTATTACGTCATCAATTTTAGTGACGTCAAGATTGCTACACGTTCGTAAAACTTGTAGAATGGAATCTACACGTAAGTGAAAACGTGTAGCTTAAATATTAATAAAAATTAGCCAATTTAAGTGTGAAAATGTGATTGTTATACATTATATGTAGGATGTTTACTTTAGCGAGCACTTATTTTCATCAAGTTTTGTTTACTAACTGACGACAAAAAACCTTCCAAGTAGTTGAAACAGAGACACCGATTGCGGTGTACACGTACATGTTACACGTCATAAAAATCTCAACAGACAAACTTAAAAAAAAAACGTGTACGTGTACGTCAAAATATATACAAGTACACGTATGCGTACAAGTTTAAAATCTCAACCTCTCTAATAATAAAAAAAACCTTACAAGTATTTAGTACCAGAAATAGCCATTTCCGTTTTTTTTTTTTCAAAATCGATGATATAATACATTGTATATTTAAGGATAATTCTTTGAATTTTAATTCAATATAAAGCCGTATTTCGTTTTAGAAATATCGATTCCTAAATAATTTGAACTATTTTGCGTGAAGAATCGTGCGTTTGCGTTAGCAATCATGTAAGATCGTGTAACGTGTAGAATCGTGAACGTGAAGGATCGTTCGTGTATCTTGCGTTAATCGTGCGGAATCGTGCTTGTAACGTGATTGTTCGTGTAAGTTGTCAACAATAACGTTCCAGCCACTGTACGCTGCATTTTCAATGCTTATACGATGGATATATCTTTCCAAAATAAGTGGGAGACTTAGCCCCCCATCCTCTTCCCTGGACCTTCGCCCAGTCTCGATGTCTATGCTATACTCAAAACATTCATATAATTATGTACTTATCTAACTGGTATGACGTTGAAAACTTTCAATAATGAATAAGTTATTTAAAACAGACTAAAACTAGAAATTTTTAAGTACAGTAAAACGTTTGAAATAGAAAGAATTTTCGTAGTTTTGAACAATTAAATTGGCCCCTTTTTATTTTCATAAATGCTAAGTTGCTTGAAGCTGTCCTCTGGTGCCCCCTATACACCTTTACATCTACTTATCAAAGATAAGAATTAACATAAAAAGAATAAATGAACTTAAACAATAGTCACTCGTTTTTTCAAAACCCTTTGATTTTCCTTTTTATTTTATCAAAACCTTAAATATTTAAAACGTCAATATCTCAGGTCCTACAGTGACTTTATCATAAAAAAGTTATCAAACCAGGATCTGTTATTTATCATACCGATTATTTGATGTTTCCATCGCGATTGAAATCAACAATTGACATCAACATTATACAGGAATTATTTCCTTTACTTCGATTGCAAATTGGATATTGAAAGGTAGCGATAAATGTTTATCATCCGACTATGCTTTATTTGCATTGGTCAATATTCTAATGAGCTACGAAGAATTCTCGCCTCGTTCAACCACGGCCAGAATGGGAGGGGATCGTACATTTTGGTGGTGGTTTGCGACGATATTATTAGTTATCCAGGTTCAATCAAGGGTGTACGGGGATTTACCCCGGGTTTTATTCCATACACCCTGAGGCCGTAGGCCGTATGGAATACAACCGGGGATAAATCCCGTACATCCTTGATTAGACCTGGATAACGAATTTATTTCCATAAAAATGCTTTGTAAACATCAAAGTGTGTCTCAATCTATCGATTAGATAACTACGTTCTACAATGCATCGTGACGTCACGTTGTTTGTTTTTTTTTTATCATAGAGAATGTATGCATTGTGACGTCACGTTTTATTTACACCCGGCTCAAGTCGGGTGCACGGATATTTACACCCGACTTTGTAACCAATCAAAGCTCGTGTTACAAGCTAGATAGGAAATAATTATTTATATCCCCCTACTTTGTTATGGGGGGTTTCAATTATAAAAGTCGCAAAAAAGTAATTTTTTTAAATTTTTTATCTTTTAATTATTTATTTGCCAAAAAATGGAATAGAATTCTTTTTATTTTTTTCTGGAGCAACAATGTTGTAGAAAAGAACAAAAATTAAAAGGATCCTGGCATATTGTAGATGCTAGTCTGCGCAAACCATGGAATTTGAAGGCACTTTAAGACAGGACCATAATTCAAAGGGAATAAAATTGTAAATTTGAGACAAAACGATAAATTCTATTTTTTAAAATATTTTTTCACACACTCTTTCTGAACAGGAACGATCTACATGTATCAATAAATACGGGACTTTCATTGGGCAAATTAATTTTCAGATCATGATCGAGAGGTGGCCTGGTTTCATTTCAAATTTTATAGATTTTACATTTCCGCCAAATTTTCATTTGACATCAAGAACGTTTGACCCTTTGACCTTGACCTTGGAGTTTAACCTACTTTAAACAAAGTTTTACCTGGCCATAAGTTCTGAACGGTTAGGTCTAGAGCTTCAATACTCTACATAAGTATTCTATGTGGCAAGACCTTTCATTGGATATCAATTAGCTTGACCTTTTGACCTTGAACTTGGAGAATTTTGCACTTAATGAAAAAACTTAGGAATTGGCCTACTTTCAAATTTCACTTTTTTTTCCAATAAGAATACCCTACTTTTGGTACCAATAAATTAAATTTGCATATAAGAAAAAATAATCTTTGCTATGTTGACATACGGGGGCATCGATGTTTCTCAAACACATCTTGTTTTAATATAATTCTCCCACTGATATGTCTTATCACACCTTTTACATCCTTCATCCACATGTTTCCTATTATGTTCATGTACTCTGTTTTATTTCCTACTATTTTGGACATGTAATTTGGCTTCACAAAAACACAATGGCTGTTTAGAAAATCAAAATATTACCAAATGATTTTTTTAATTCGTAAATACAATTTATCTATGATAATTATAAGTTGATTAGGGTATTCTTTGCCTTAAATTCTTTTACAATTGGAAAATACATGTGTGCTTACTGCGATTCGCTTGACTGCATATTTGGATCGATAGAAGGGGGTCGTAAGACAACATGATGGGGTTTATCAATGTAAACAATTTTCACACCTTCTTTTCTCCACACAGGATCAAAATAATCATAGGGAATCATGGATTATGTTTTAGTTCAAGTTATCTGTATGTCTAACGTCTATAAATACTTTTATATCATAATTATATAACCTTTGAAAGAAAGAGAAAGAAAAAAAATCGAGATATTAATTTTAAATACAGTTTTTAGGGTATGTTAGGATACCCAGAACGTTTATTATGACCGGCACCAAACTTACGCGGGCCGGAACGTATATTATAGCCCGGAACCAACATTATAGGTATTTAGCGTTCCAGAGATTTTTTTTTCACTGGAAATGAGTCTCTTCTTCATAATGTTCATCATGTTGATGAAAAAAAGACTGTAAATACTAGATCCTCAGTTGGTATATCAAGACGTCCATTTTATACATAAAGTGAAATTACCTCTTCATAAATTTTAATATAAAAGTACCTTGCGTTATTCATATAAAAATGGATATAGAAATGGACACAGTAAATACACAGTTTATAGGATAAGGTGACTGTACTATCCTAGTAGTGAGTTAGTTAAATGAAAAAAAAAATATTCATGTAAAAATCAGACAATGAAACAATTAATCAAAACCCTTTACAAAAAGGATATATTTCCTAATCAAAGTTAACTGAGAAAATAAATATGCATCTTAAATAACTCTTACCGTAAGCACTTGTAATTGCTCAAAATTGATGTTTTACGACGGACGACAGATGATTAAAAAAGGAGACTTGAACGTTTGATTCAGGGGAGCCCTAAGCATAGTCTCTATATGAATAGACGTGGCGCAGTGGTTAGATTGACTGATGGAGTGTTTATTGTTTAATGTCCTTCTCGAAATATTTACTCATATGGAGACGCAGTGTTTGAAGCATCTGTTCTAGAGTCGTAAAGTAAGGAGACGATCCTGATTTGGCGGATTCAAATCGAGTTTGTGAGACGTGGAGACCAGTTCTTTATCAGCTCTCCAGTTGCAAATTGGTGGGTATTCATATTGAAAAATACTCTCAAAAGGGCGATAAACAACATACAAACATACAAAATAAATATGAATATATAAAACATCACATTTTAGACAAATGAGTACAGGTAATTTGAAACAGACAACTTAAAATAATAAGTATCATATTTACCAAAAGTAATAAAAAAAAACAATTACAATCCTACATATAGCACAGTAATTTTAGTTCCAGATGGACGGCTAAGTATGCCACTGCAGTGCATGTACGATCAAACCAAACTGCAATGTACAACTAATAGCTTGATGATATGATTTTTTTTTCAATTGTTCACAAAAATGTCTAAAATGCAATGTTTAAACAATTTATACATTATGATTTTTTAATACATGAATACATAAATTCTTGATTTGCAATGTCATCTTTTTAAAATTGACAAATTCAACAAAAACTCTATGAAAGTTAAATTGCGTTGTTCCTGGAAATCAAGTGTATTGTTATATATTGATATTTGTAATAAAGACATTGTCATACGTGCTTGAGGTCATGGAAATTATTCACTTGTTATATCAAAGTATAAGGGGTATCCCAACAAATATTCTTTCTCAGAGCTGTTTTAAATATCATTTAGTTCCCTGCAATAATTTACATCTCCAATTTCCAATACCTTGTCAATTCATTTGTATTGATATAATGCTTATCAATAAGGGAATGCAAAGGACAAATGATTTTTTCGACATCTTTTGAAATTCTGTCCTGGGACAGGAAATGATCTGTGATATCCATGGCAATGGCTTTAGTATTATCCATCCGGCACCTAAAGCCTTTTACAAACCATGGTTGCCGGAGGCGTTTTAAAGCACAATCATTTAATATATTTTCTACTTTTTCTTGAATCCTCTCTGTTTTATGTCTCTCAAGGATACAGCCTTCATTTGGATGAAAGACTTGAAGCTGTATAGATTCTTCTGTGACGGATAGAATTACATGATAGTCAAGAACTGAGAACAATGCTACGTTTCTGTAAAGGCTTGAGGTTCCATCCGTTTCAAGTACCATCCAACCATCTTGTACACAAGCGACAATAAGGCGGTAAAACAAGAAGAAAGGCAAAAAAGGAAACTGATAAATGAGAACAGATGTTTTACTCTCTGAACTTTGAATCAAATCTGTAATAGATGCCTCCATTTCTTTCCGGTTCATACATGGAACATAGTGCGACTTCTCTCCAACTGCCAGCAAGCCAAGTCTTTGCATGAAATTAAGAAGTGATTTTTCATGATGCTCTAGATATCTTTCATCCCTCTTGAATGAACCATATCTAATTTCGTATATTTTGTTTTCCTTCTTTAACCTTTCAAACAACTCTCTGTCCTTATGTTTCCATATCTCTATGAGTAACTCGTTTTTCAAATTTCCAGTTTTATAATATTCCTCCCAGTCCTTCCCGGTCACAGGGATACCTTCAAAATGTAACTTGTCTGTGATGATATGTTTGAAGGAATCAACAAACCACTGAACATCGATAATTACACTTTCAGTCAGACCCTTTTCCTCAAAATGAAGAACTTTACCAGCATCATGAAAGTATCTAAGCATATCTTTATTTTCATCCAATTCTCTGGTTGCACTTCTGTTTAATTCAGAAGAATTATTTGGTGTTTTAGTCAAAATATCAGAAATTTTAATAATTCGTTTTGAATGTTTTGTCTGACTTATTTCTATTTCAAAGAAAGACCATTCTTTTGGAATAGTTTCTTTCCATTGCTGTTGAGAGGCTATGTCGAATAAGCGTCTTTCTAAATCTTCAAGCGATACAGACAGCTGAGTACAAAAACAGTTATCTTTTATGATGTACTGTGGTAAATATGAGGATTTTGGAAACTGAAGTCGCAGGCTCTCCATGAGGACATCTTTGTCCTGTAATAAATATAACTTATTGTTAAATTAATCCCAGTTCGTTATTGTTCACTTTGTTTAGTCTGTCACGGCATCAACGACAGTGGGGAACGCGACATTATTTGCATTACGGCCTAGGCACCTGTTTTGCATTAATTATCCCACGTTTTCAATTATTGTTTTGATCCCTAATATACTGTACTTACTAGTCAGTGATGCCTTATATTCCCATGTCATTGAGAAATAAAATTGTAGATTAAGATTATAATAATGTAAACTGATAAATTTAAATCACATAGGCCCACAATGTCAATTTCAATAGTCCTCGCCCACTGACGTCAAACACAGTGACAGCCGGAAGAGATTTACATGCATATTTGGCATCCTTGACTCATGAGGAACCGATTTGCTAAAGAGGTAAAGTCTAAAAGTACAGAAACTGGCCTGATTTCAAAAAAAAGATACCCTTGACACTGGATATATCTATAGACTATATATTGTATTCAAGCAAACTTTCTTTTTTCATTATCTCTTACATATTTTCTGTAAGAGGTCTTCAAAATAGCATATGTGTATATGAATGAATTTCGTATGTTTTATGGAACGTCATAATGACGTTGCAAATTTTAACACTTCAGAGTTTTCATAAATAAAGTGGTATTAATTAATTAATTGAGTATTTCACAAAATATGCATATAATAATATTTTACAGATAGTACTTCGATATTTTGTTAATGAAATAATAATATTTTGTTTAAAAATATAACATCAGATATAAACAAGCTTAGGTACATGTACATGTACAAGTGAAAATGACAGCGTGTCCGTTCAGCTTGTGCAAATCGAGATACACGTATTCACTAGTTATTAAATAACCATTAACAATAACTTTTTCAGTAAGTAACACAAACTTGATGTTTTTGATACATTTATCAACCTGTATGAAACCTTTAACTGAATAAAACCTGAAAATGATAGCATTGATTCAGTTACAGTTAACACAAAGGTATGTTTAAGCATCTACATGTACTTTCACATTGCCAGAAAGATGTGTCCATCAGGATTCTGAGAAAGTGAACTCAACCAGCAGTTTTCATTAACTCGTATCAGCTTCCGATTGAATTATAAGTTATTTCATAGTAAATAATCAAAAACAAACGCAGTTTAGTATAATTTTGATCATATTTTTCATTCAAGAAGTGTTCCATACATGTTAACTTAATTGTGACGAAAATTGGGGAAATTCATACCTCGATCTAAAGAGGTATCGCGTACGTGATATTTGACGCACGGATTTGTTAGGATATAATTTTTTTTTAAGTAATCATTTTCATGTATTAGCAAAATGTTTTCAGGACCAAAAAAGCTTTTAGAAGAAAATCATTTAATAAAACGATTTATTTTAAACACTCTATTCAGTGCCACTATTAACAATCAGTGGACAGGGTTATGAAATTTCATTTTTTCCTTGCCATCTTTCTGCTTTTCAAAATTTTCAACATTTGTGTATTTTCGAGCAATACGTATACTTCGCTGAACGAATACTTTCGCCTTTCTCAATTTTTTTGCAAATATATTAAACCACAGTAAATCTTTGACCTTTATTTAAACAAACTTGAATCATAATCCTCTTCACCTAAGGATACCTTGTGGCAAGTTTGGTTAAAATTGGCTCGGTGGTTCTTGAAAAGAAGTCGAAAATGTGAAAAGTTATCGACAACAACGACGACAACGACAAACAAAGGACAGATTTTGATCAGAAAAACTACAAGGCCTAACAATCTTTTTATGACCATGGATGAACAGTGTGAAAGGCATGCAGAGAAATAAAACGTTTTTGACCTTTGCACAAAATTGAATGACTATCACAAAGGTTTCACTTTTAATTTTAAGCACCTGTAATTCAACAAATAGAAACCCGCATTCTTGTAAAGTTTATGAATGCATGTACTAAGTCATACATTTATATCTTTCTGAAAAATTACTACATGTACCTTAAACTGTTTGTTTCCTTCTTCCCAGTGAGTTGCTACAATGAGAACTACAGGCTTTGCGTCATTTTCATTGTCAGGTCCACAGTAGGTGTGTATAGACTTTATCCAGAAAACAAAATAGTCTGAAATAAAGAAAGGGAGTTGTTTTATTTTAAAGACTAGAAATACTTTGAGCATTGAAGCACCATTCTCCTATGTATATAATGGTCAGTCAATGTTTTGCTAATGGCATCCTAAAATATGTGTCAGACCAAAACATAGAAGATGCACATAAAGAGTATTTAATAAAAAATACACTCTATGTTATAATAAATATTAAATTTTTGTCTATATTTTGAAATAGAAAAATCAACACCTGTTTCTGATCAAAAGACTAGGTGAGGAACAAAGATTAATCTAAAAATCTCATAAAATTCATTGAATAAATAATTTAATAAGGAAAGAATGAAGAGCTGAAGCATCTCAACAATACAAGTATACATTTCATACTTTTCAAAAGTTTAAGTTAAATATTTTATCAATGGATTTAAAGAACATCGAACAAGATTCATAAAAAATATATGAAGATACATGTTGTAAGAAGTCCCTGACACGCACTATAATGTGTCGAATATGGCTATATATGCTTAAGGAAAGATGCTCCTTCCCTAAAAAGTACATGTATGTTCCGATGAACTTTTTTAAAAATGTATATATGTTTGATTTTATTTGCATGATTAAGTACCCTCCCTAACCCCATATCTGACAACGTCTACCCCTCCCCTTTTCGCTTGATAGCAAATGATATTGCTTTCTAAGGGCCTGTGCATATTACTTAAACTGAACTTTTGAGATGGAGTGTTATGTTCCTGCAAATCTGTTAATGAGTGGAACGAAATATGAATTGTGTACGCCTGTTTTTATCGATGCAAGCTTCGGCATCAAAGTGTGACGCAAATTGTTTTAATACATGTACCAAACTATTTGACAATACTTCCATTTCTAATTTTTCTCTTTGTGATATCTCTTTGAAAGTTAGCAGAGTTAATTTCTTTATAATTCTGCCTGAATGTAAATGAGGCAGGTCAATAGGTCAGGAACTAAGAAGGCCTAATATGCAAGCAAATCTCGTGTGCATCTGTCTGAGAGCCTGACGCTTAGGTGGCCAAATGTGCATGACAATCTCGTGCGACTGCCGTTGTATTTGTTGTCAGTGGGCGAGGACTATTGAAATTGGTATGGGAATCCTCGTGTAATTTTAATCTATGTCTATATTTTTAAAGTCTAAATCTACAATTTTATTTCACAATGAAACGGAAATATAAGGAATCACTGTCTAGTTAGTATAGTATGCCAGGGACATCAACAATAGTGGGAAACATGGGAAAATTTATGAATAACGGGCTTCTCCTCTGATGCAAATTATTATATGTTTCCCACTATTGTTGATGCCCTGGCATACTATACTAACAAGACAGTGATTCCTTAAATAAACGCTTCGTAATACAATTACAGAAAAAAATATATGCGTTTTTTAAAACATTTATACCTCCATATGTCCATTCAGAGAACACACTTCCATCTTGATCACACACTTCCTTATCCACCTTCTGGTCAAGACGTTTAGAGGCGTCCACCACCACAACATAGAAAGCTCTCTTGGTCAGGTAAATCTGGTGACAGGCGTAGTACGCACACTGTCCTCCAAAGTCAAAGAATGTCAAGGTCTTTGAGTCCATATGGGTAGCAGATCTTTCCTCATATAAATCGCCTTTGTTGATACTTCTTGCTAGAAAAAATATAGAAAGTTTAATACCCTCAGGATAATTTTATTTTATTTGATTCACATTTTTATCATTGACGAATTACCGACATGTAATTTTACCATATCTACTCATAACAGGCACGTAGCAGCGGGAGGGGGGAGCTCTGGGGCCTGCCCTCCACTTTTTCCCAATTATTACTTTTACTATCGGAAATGTTCATTTCAAAGCTTTGATAAATACCCCCCCCCCCCCCCCCCAGTTTATGCTAGAGGAAATTGATATCAGGGAAATGTGTCAGGCAAAACAATTGGTACTGAAAGAAGCTGGTATCGAAAAAGTAACCTGAAGCCTCCTCCATCCCCCTTCGAAATAGGATTTTCGAGTTTGGCCAATCGTCCTTTTTTTTTTTTTTTGCTTGACAATTTTTTCGTATAAGTCAAAAATATTTTTTTCTCTAGCTGCCCATCTCTCAAAAACGATGTTACATGTATGTGGCTGCATAATAGTCAGTATTTGATACGCATTATTAGAGACTTGAGATTAAAATGAGCCTGAGTATTTTTTTTAATCTAATGATGTAGGATCAAAATAAAATAAGCAGGATAATGAACTTTCCAACTATACCTTTAAATGATTTTGTTTCATTACATATATCGAATATCTCCTCATGCACCTCCAATCCCTCAGTAGACTTTACTTTCTTAATCTCTTCTTCACTACAACCAAGCAGACGTTTAAGTAGCGTGGTTTTGCCCGCCCCAGCACATCCTACAATCATCCCCCGGGCGTGGTGGACTGTCTGTGTTCCTCTCCTAGCGTACTCCACATACCTCTCTCTGGCCTTCTGGTCCCATTTTAGTACTTCAGTAGGGACTTCTACTGTATCATAAAACATTCAACACTATCATATAGAGATAAACAGAAAACAAATAACATATATATTTTTTTTTTCTTTTCACCTTTATTGGAGACTTTTGTATTTAAGGATACATATCACTCTTTTCCCTAAAATCCAAACAGATTTGCCTAAATTAAAGGTTTTGGTATACTTTTTCAAATAGTTAAATATTTTGCAAAGTCACATAATTAAAAAAAAATGTCAATATTTGTTTGTTTTTTAAATCAAAGAAATGTGTGGCTTTTTGATTTATTTAATTGTGAAATCCATAAACCCTGGGATTAAGCTCAATTTATCTAAGTATCTTCACCCTACAATTTGAAATATCACAAAAATTGTATTTAAGTGTATCCAAATTTTCATATTGATTATGTTGTTGGGTCATTTTCAACAAAGCATTTTAACTATTTACACCATTTGAATGACGTGATTATTATGCACCCGGATTGGTAGATCCGGGGCATATATTGTTTTAGTCCTGTCTGTCTGTTTGTCTGTTTGTTTGTCTGAAAACTAACTTTCATCATAACTTTTGAACCATGAAAGATACAAATTTAGAGACTTCATATTTAGTATTCGTACTCAACTAATTAAGCTATTTCAAATGACAGAAAAGGACCTTGACTGTGACCTATATGCAAAAAATTCCTTTTATCTGCAAGTTTTAACCTTCACCATAACTTTTGAACAATGCAAGATAGAGACTTCATATTAAGTATGCATTTTCCACTAATTAAGCACTTTCAAATGATACCAAGGTTAATGACCTTGTGACATTGACTGTGACCTATATGCAAAAAATAGCTTTTTATCTGCAAACTTTAACCTTCGCCATACATTTTGAACCATAAAAGATAGAGACTTCATATTTAATAAGCATACTCCACTAATAAAGCTCTTTCATCTTTCAAATTACACCAAGGTTATTGACCTTGAAAAAAAAACCTTGACTCTGACCTGTATGCGCAAATTATTTTTTTCATGTCATTGCCCATAACTTTAGAACCATAGAAGATGGAAGCATTTGCAAATGACACCAAGGAGCTTGACTGTGACCTATATGCAAAAAATACCCTTTATCTGCAAATTTTTACCTTCACCATAACTTTTGAAACATGAAAGATAGAGACTTCATTTGAAGTATGCATTTTTCACTAATTAAGCTCTTTCAAATGAAACCAAAGTTAATGACTTTGTGACATTGACTGTGACCTTATGCAAAAAATAGTTTTTCGTACCTTTGCCATAATTTTTCAACCACAAGAGATAGAGACTTAAGCTTCATATTTAGTATCCATACTTTACCAATCAAGTTCTTTCAAATGACTCAATGTTCAATGGCCTTGTGACCTTGACTGTGGCGTAAATACTAAACAAAGCATTTTTAAAATTTTGTTGCCGCCGGGTGCATAGTGTTTCACAAACACATCTAGTGTTTCCATTGAATGAAATATGCACTAATAAAACTATATTTTTTCTGTGTAAGAAATATGAAATTTCTGTCTAATATGTATCTCTAAGAAATATATCAATCTATCAATCTAAAATATGCTCGAGCTCTAAGCTGAAGTAATTATAACATTCATATCTTAAATGATTACTTTAAGTATTATATTTTACTTTTGATTAAAACACTCAAAGCCTTCCAACTTCGAGGGGAAAATATATACTTACAAGAAAAGACCGTGAACATTATAAATATTGGTATCAGTTTGTCTTAACGGGCTAAATTGTCCAAGCAAGGATTCGTCTTATTAAATATATAAATTATTTTTTACATAATTTACAGGACACTTGCTCTGAAAGCGCATTGTATGCTATACCGCGATTATCGCCCTGACGTCGTTCCATACAACCATGTCAATTTGCTTTTTTTTTTGGTCGACTTTAGCGAGATGAGCTCGAAAAAATAATGAATTATATTGATTAAACGCAAGTTGACAACTGAGAAACGCCATTACATATTCTTAGACAAAAAATCAGCATGCGTTACCAGGGATTTTCAAAAGATATAAAATTATTAAAAATTTTGCGTTATTCAAAGAAAAATGTATAAAAATTACAAACAAATTCCAGATTTTTGTTCATCAAAATTTGTATTAGAAGAGGTGTCAAAATCCATAAAAAGACATTTAAAGTATTGCACACTGGTCCTTCATTTGGTGGAACTCTTCAACTCCAGGGAAGAACCCAGGCAATAAAGTCCAAACTACGTTGCGTATGACCTTAACGTTACATTACCTACTGTGCTCCGTGGTGAAATATAAATATTTAGCTTTTGAAAATCATTTGTTCTATATAATCAAACAGAATAAATTTCAACCATCGACAAAAGTAATATTTTTTTAAAATATGAAATTCACAACCTCTTTATGTTTCATCTTGTAAAAAAATAATTTGATGAGAAACTTTGACATTGTATTGTTTGAATGACCCTCAAAAATGTAAATTCCTTAAAAGTTCTTTTAATTTTCTTTTTTGATAAATTTGGGATTTAGTCACGCGTGTTTCTTTTCACCTTGATGATTTCAATAACTAGAACAACATGTACATTTGTAACTAGTCATTTATTTGTAACAGTTTTACATGTACGGTCAATTATCGAATTATCGCCATTTGATTCATCGCCATTTTAGCAATACCGCCATGATTTCTCAAGAACGTTTTTCCTTCTATATAAATTTCTCTTTATAGCGCCAAATTCGCATACCGCCATCCGCCATCCTGTTTTCACAACAAACGTCCATTTGTAAGTGTCAATTATCTCGATATACCGCTACAGGTGGTCAGTGAAGCGCGGCTAATTGGTTGACGCTATCCCTGTTGTAAAACATGCAAAGCCAGTCAAGGTACATGCAATTAAGTAATCAATAATTTTAACATGAACTGTTAGAATAATTCTGTTTTCTGTTTAATAAAATCACTTAGTTGTAAACTACGCCGATAGCGATATTAATTTGATGATCTCTGCTTTTAAGAACAATGCCAAAGTTTGCTTAAAAAATAACTATAAGTCAAAAATTGTGAACGTTTTATTAACAATGATGTCATAAACAACTAATTTATTCAAGAACTCATTTTATGTACTATAGGCAATATACGACGATCGACCCAGCATTATTTTTTTTTTCAATTTAAGACGTGCAGATTTACATGTATACACAAGAATTTGTCCTTACTTCATAACTGAATATTCTTTTTTAGCGAAATTGTACTGTAACATAAAAAATACTTGATGTATTATCAAATTTAGAAATATGTTTATATATACCTGTATATGTAATAATAAGAATGGAAACGCTAAACGGTATTTCTAAGAACGATAACTCTACGTCTTACTTCCTAAAAGATGGGGAAATTCAATTCATCGCCAAATTCGTTATACCGCCATGATTTTTTAATTACAAAAAGTGGCGGTTTATCGAGAATTAACTGTACTTTGAAATGCAGATCATACAAATATTTTAAACATCCTGCTATGCTTCGTCATTCCTTTTTTTTAACACTCCTTGGAAATTGGATCAAAAATGGAATGATTAAGACATCTAAAGAACTTGATTTATACTTGTATGTTACGGTCTCGGTTTTGTGCCAGCTAGGATACAAATTACACTATTAAATGCATAAACATTACTCATTAGTTGCTAAGCATCTAAAAAATATTTACGATCAAAATAGTAATTAAAACGATACTTTCATATCTCCTTGCAATTGTCATAAACCAGTAAACCACATAATCAGTGACATATCTTTGAGACGTTATACTTACAACATTTACTGATCCTGTAATGAATCCACCTGTCAGACATTGTACAGTGTGTGATGATATCCAGCTGTAGTTTGTCTATGAAGAGGTCGTACATCTCCCCCGGCCAGTCCGGTATATACAGACATCTCTCTCCCTCATCTCTCTTATAATCCCAGTGTCTGCAATATTCATATATCACGTCACGTGACGCCGTGGTCAGGAAAAACTCCAGATCACTGTCCTTCACCAGACACTCCGTAACAAAGGCGTACATGACGTCATGTCGGTCCTCCTCTGATATAAAGGTTCTCACCCTGTCACGTGTTTCTGTGATTTCATCAGGAAAATCTTCCAAGCCGTCATCACTAATACAAGGGAAATACCTCTGTCTGATTTTGTCCTTTGTAATTTTATGTGATTGTTCAATGACACTTATCCGATAATTATCAGATATAAGTAAACAATACAGTAGACATCTCAATTCCGGCTCATAGCTATGGATTTTATCTGAAATGACAAACAAATAAATAAATTATAAATCACCAAACAAACAAATTAGTAAAATAAAATAAATAAATTGTTAACATTCAGTTGAACTACAAGAACTGCACTTCAATCTTTTTCTGTACACTGTATGTACATGTATGTATTAAGTCCTATTGAACAGAGATGTTTTAGGATGTGAACCACCCCACCCCCACCACATTTTTCTTAATCTCTACTTTAACCATCGCTGAATAAATTATATTAAAAAGATGAGGAGATTGGTCGTTCATTAATTTAATGATAATCCTGAAATACGAAATTCAATGCAAATCTGTAAAAATTGATCTTTTATTCTTAATAATAGCTATAAATTGAAATAACGTTTTGCTTTCGTCGCCCGCGAGACACAGTGATTCGAGCATCTGCTTTAGAGTCCAGGAGTAGGGTTTTCATTCTTTTAATAGCAACACCACATTTTCTTGTTTGTCGGACATCTGATGACAAAAGTAGGCAACCAATTTAGTAATAATTTTTTTAAAAACTTTTTTGAAGGAAATATTTTTTGGATGAACTTGAACATATATTCCCCCTACCTTATTTTTTTCTTTTTTTTTTTACATATAGCGGATTGACGAGGAGTACGAAAAATGGAGAGGAAATAAAAGGGAAAAAATATCAATAAGACATTGTAATTAAGCGATCTTGCATGGGGAGCATAAAAACACAATCATGTTTAGCAGGATACACAGAAATTGCAGGAAAAGACGGGGGGGGGGGGGGAGTAATTGTAACATTTGATATAATGAAATTAAATAGGCTTTCAACGGAGCTGCCCCATCCCCTTCTTAAAAAGTCTACAGAATTTTTTTTTCCATCAACTTTCATATATTTCTTTTAATTATCTAAAGGAATTTTGTATTTTTGTGCTCAAGCAATTAAAAAATCAACTTCTTGGACACCACATTCCTGTCTTGGTCAGTGAAAAAATGCAATTCTCAAATCAATATATTCATGTTTCTGCATCCCCCTCACGACCCCAACCCCCTCCTCCCTACACATAGAGACACACATGAAGACATACATCCGATCCACAAAAAACGCACTTTTGGAAAGGAAGGAGGGCAGCCAGAAAGAAAAAAAATAACTAACCTAAAAATAGAATAAAAAAATATTGACTTAATATTATTCTACATTTCTATATATTAACGATGAATAATGCTTGTAAACGTCCAAAATACAGCAATGATGAGTTTGTTTGTTGATTAAAACGTCTCACTGCGAAAACCTCACTGAAACACTGTTACATTGACACCATTCTTCGCCGCGGAGAGCCTCAATTTGACCTTGGCACTGCATGAAGGCCATTGAGTGAGGGATCATTTTCGTGCCAACAACTTCCACAACAAGGGACCCCATTTTAATCGGTCTGATTTAATAACACGTGTTTACGTCTCTCAGTGGGATTAGATCCCGTGAAATATATAAGGATCGGACGAGAACTATTCATTTCATTCCCACATCCATTCAAACTTTTATATATTTCAGTCAGAAGTCCGTATTTTTTTTGCTGTGATTTTATGATGAAACTGATTTTTTTTAAATAGTTCAAAATGCTTCCTGATTAAATTAAGTTGATCTAACTTTTGCACTAAAAAATGAAACAAATGTTTTAAGGCATAACAACAATCAACTCTTCTTGCATTCAACAGTTCCATGGAAGGATAAAGGTAAAACTTTTAAAATGAGGTTACAATGTATGAGCTTTGTAACGCCACATAACTCGTACGTATTATGGAGAGATAACTCTAGTCTACCACCCCGTCAGCGGTACCAGATAGCAAATTTATACGACCAGAAACTTTTATACAAAGTTGATCTAATATATTTTGCACTAAAAAATGAAACTATTGTTTTAAGGCATAACAGCAATATCAAATCTACTTGTATTCAACAGGTCATGGAAGGATAAAGGTGACACTTTTAAAACGAGGGAAGGGATTCATGTATATCCCCTTTGTAACGCGACATAACTCGTACGTATTATGGGGAGATAACTCCTGTCAGTGGTATCAGATAGCAAATTTATACGACCTGAAACATGTTCACCACCTTTCACAATAAATAATGCGGCAAATGAAAATCCTGTTAAAGAGAATACTTTTATTTTGAATTAATATTGAAAGAATTTTAATTTTACAAAATTTAAGGTAGTTCTATACTCTGCACTAAATGGGCTCATCTTAATAAATCTGCTTTTAAAAGATAGACATACATCCCAGCAATGGACAGACACAAGAAAAATCATATGTCAGCATGTTCACTTTTCCGCTATTACCTATCGGAGTATATACCCCGAAATGTAAAATACTGAGATTTACCTATCCAAGATTTTGTTGTATATAAATGAATTAAAGTCTAAATATTCGACTTTAATACCTTAAAGAGGGTAGAAATATGTTAGTCAACAACATATAATCATTGTTTTGCATGAATTATTATAAATAGATGCACTTTCTTAGACTAACGTATCAAAATATGAGAAAATATGCTTCACAGGCCAATCTCCGTCATTCAAAAAAAAAAAAATTGGACTCAAACTTCGTATATTTGCATTATTTTTACTCAATAATATTTAAGAAAAAGATTAAGCTGTAAAAAATTATATGTTGACGCATTACTTTTCGTGGTATGAGCTCTACACTAAAGGTACCCCCCTAATTTCCTTCTTCCAGAAAAAAAAAATATTGCAACATTTTCCTGTAATACTGTTAATGTTTGAGTGTATATTTGTACTAACAAAGTTGTACATACTTAAAACAATAATTATACACACCCAATACCTATTGTTTCTAAAATGTATCTTATTTTACTTAAAAAAATTAAAACACATTAATTAGTCTTGTCTGTATATTGGAGACAATGAAAATGAAAGTGATTGACGGATTCTCACAAACTGGATAATTTTGTAACAGAAAGTAAGTATGCTGCAAGTGAATCAACTTTTGTCATATACTTATATTCATAAGATAATATTATAATTTTGTGGATAAGCAGTTTGAAGGGGGGGGGGGGCGTCTTAAACAATACTTATTGTTCAAAGTAAATTTTATAATGTTTGATTAGTAAAATTCATAAATGTCTAAGTCAAATCGTAGTCACTACTTTTCTTCCAGATTATTACTATTAGCTTCAACTTGGCCGCCGACAATAGTCGCGAGAGTTTTATACAAATCATGCATGTTCTGATGTAGCAAGTTATTACCTACTTATTTCTGTCAACCAAAAGTTGTTCCCAGCCTTCTCTTTTTAATTACTTGTTTTGCAAGCATCACTGCATATTTATAATAGTTATGTATAATAAATTGTATAATAAATTGTGTAGATCGTCATGGCAGACTAATGATAAGATGCGATTTAAAAGCCTGACAGTTATAACGGTGAACATTGGGGTTGGCTTAAACCAAACAATTCTATAAATTTATAATCGATTGCAACTGAAGCAATCTCTTAATTTCTTTAGCACACTCTAATTATAAAATACACACAAGGAATGAAATGAACAAGTTTTTTTTTCTCAATTTCTTCTCTTTTCACAAATATTGTCATAAAATGTAGGCCTAGTTACACGAACAATGTGCCATTTAACAAATGTTTACGGAAAATGGGTTTTGAGATCAATTTGTAATAATTAGATTTCGTTTCATACAATGTAGAAATATTGTTTTACTTTAATTGCCTTTTGATATCTTTTGCTAATTGTTTTGATACTTGTGATAACTGTATTGTGAAGTCACTTTAAGTCAGCTAGGGTACATGTACTTTATAAACTACTCATTGAATAAGATTTATGAAAATACTAAAAGAACTTAAATGGGTGATCTATAAAAATTTTGATTATTTCAACTGTAGCATAACAGTGTTTAAACTCACTGTAAAATATTAAGACAAGCATGGCTGATTGCTAGTGAAAGTTGTCCGCCCTGCAAAAATTGTACATAATTTTTTTTCAGTGGTAGTGAAGTGATCGACTTGCATGAACAGCTTTCTATTATCTTGCTATAAATTATAATGCAACTACCCCTGGAAAAAAACAACTCTTGTTCCCCAGTAAATTTACTTATCAAAGAAGAAATATTTATTATTTTTTTTTTGTATTATGTAATAGCTAAAAAATTTCTTTTGAGAGAAAATCCGGATAATGTATATATCTCTCCTCAGACTCTTGTTTGGTTTTGTAAAAGTTGTTTATTTTTTTGTAGAACAGCTGTAGCCCAAGAGGGCTATAATAAAATACTCTGCCCCTGGGACAGTCAGGTTCAGTGACTATTTACTATTTTTAGAAACACACAAAGTATAACAAAGTTAACAAAGATTTTTTAGTTGTAATAATGAGTAAATATGAAAAACTGGTAGTTGAACAAAGTATAAATGAAAAAGAGACATGATTGATAATGAAATTTTAGGGGGTTTAATTAAATGATTTGGAAAACTTAGATATTTGTACTTTATTTAGAATTTTACTTGACTAATAAGTTGAATTTGGATCGGGCTCGAAATTTACACTGTATATTTCATATATCACCCTTTGTCTGATTTTTATGTGGACTGGTACTTAAGTCTGAAGAGGATAAATTTTGGAGATATAAAATAAGTAAGTTATTTAAATGTACCCTCAAAGTTAATACCGAAATCGGTATGTAGTATCCATAATCGGGAAGATGGGCTTACCCTTAGCTACTGTGCTCAGAACAGTGGACACAAGAACTCACAGTCCTAGAGGTCCAGCACAATCTCTTGATTAAGCTAGTCAAAATACTGTAGACGTACTTTTTTCCGCGGGGTCATAACTCCGCGGAATCTCAATTTCTGTTTAATCCGCGGGTAGAAAATTACACGGATTTTCTTGACTGTCACTATATGCCTTACATTTATATTAAGTACGCTTGGACAAATTTCCGCGGATTATCTGTGACCGCGTACATAGCGTTAATTAATACCACGCGGAAAAAAGTACTTCTACAGT